CAGTGAAACTGAGAGTTACATTCATGAACACCTGTGACTACACAGGCTCTCGGGTCTTACGCTTTAATATGCAGCGCTGCTGTCGTCGATACCCAGAGAGGCGCAGTATGACGGGTGTGAAGCTTCGAACATGCAAACATTTTTATTAAACAGTAAATGCACATTAAAGTGTACAGAAATGTGTCTCTGTAGAGGATGTTTTAAGTTATTTATGCTAAAAAAAAATCAACAATCATTATTTGACCAGCAGTGTCCAAACCTGTGACTGCAGAGAAAAATTTGAATCCATGAGTCCACCTGAAATACTGAAACTGTCCAAGTGTTAAAACCCTAAAACTCACCTCTCCACTGCTCTCCTCTCTCTCTCTGCTGGTCACTGCTGCTCGTCTCCTGTTGGAGTTTTCACAGGAAAATGACCTTCAGACTCTCCAGCATTAAATCAACTCCTGTTAATGTTCTGAAACTGCACACTGTCTATTTTACTCTCTACTGTATTAAACTGCTTATATTAGAGTGAAGAAGCTAAACTGCAGCACAGCTTACAGGCAGCATTTGGAGGATGTTTCATATCTTACATGTGTTCAGATTCTCACCTCATCCACAAAAAGACTGCAGTGAATATCAGAAGTAAAACCACGGCGACTCCAGAAGCTGCATATACTGAAGTCCTGTTATCTGTATCTGTGCAGAGATGCAGGGATGGAAAAAGTACAGAGAAATTATACTTCAGTGAAAGTTTGGATATTGTGTCAAAATCTAACTCAAAAGTGGAAGCAAGGAGCCAAAAAACACACTTGGAGAGCACGTCACTGCGAGCGACAGAGAGCAGCCTAGCTTAGAGCTTCAGATTGAGCAGCGTCCAACCTTCACGTGAAGAATTAGCAGTTAGCAGGCTGCTAACCCAATCTGGATTCAGGCCACATCACAGCACTGAGACAGCTCTAGTTAAGATAACAAATGATCTTCTTCTTGCCTCTGATCAAGGCTACGTATCCCTGTTGGTGCTACTTGACCTCAGCGCAGCTTTCGATACGATAGACCACAATATTCTCCTAGAAAGGTTAGAAAACATGGTTGGAATCACAGGGACCGCCCTATCGTGGTTCAACTCTTACTTAACGGAACGTTATCAGTTCGTAAAGGTAAATGACTTATCTTCCAATTATTCACAAGTAAGATCTGGAATTCCGCAAGGCTCTATTTTAGGACCATTATTATTCCCATTATACATGTTACCGTTAGGCACAGTTATAAGTAGCCATGGCATTAACTTTCACTGTTACACAGACGATACGCAATTATACATATCAGCCAAGCCTGATGACAAATACAGGTTAAAGAAAATAGAGGACTGTGTAAAGATGTGAAGGGTTGGATGTTGCGTAACTTCCTCCTTCTAAACAGCAACAAAACAGAGGTTCTCCTTCTGGGTCCAAAAGTGGCAAGAAAAAAATGATCAGATTTAACTTTAAATCTTGCTGACTTTCCAGTTATACCAGGTTCAGCAGCAAAACCTTGGTGTCATACTCGATCCAGATTTATCATTTGATCAACACATAGGCAGCATCACTAGGACAGCTTTTTTACATCAATATCGCCAGAATAAGAAATGCCTTATCGCTGCACGACGCAGAAACATTAGTACATGCCTTTATTACCTCAAGGCTAGATTACTGTAACGCACTACTGTCAGGATGCACCAGCAGGAATTTAAGTAAACTTCAACTAGTTCAAAATGCTGCAGCCAGGGTTCTCACTAAAACTAGAACATTTGATCATATCAGTCCAGTTCTATCATCACTCCATTGGCTGCCTGTTAAATTCCGTATTGATTACAAAGTTCTTTTATTGACGTATAAAGCCCTACATGGGCTCCTGAGTACCTGCAAGACCTTATTTCCCATTATGAGCCACCACGATTACTCAGATCACAGAGTGCTGGCTTTGTAATAGTTCCCAGAATTCAGAAGGTTTCATCTGGGGGAAGAGCCTTTTCTTATAAAGCCCCCAAACTCTGGAATGATCTTCCAGAAAATGTTCGGGACTCAGACTCATTCGCAATATTCAAATCTAGGCTGAAAACTCACTTGTTTAGTTTAGCTTTTGGTAGTTAATGTTCCCCCTTGGATAAAGGCAGCAGATCCAGGGGTCCATGGACGCAGGGAATTATAGTAAACTGAGACGCTGGTGCTGTCGTCCCGCCGCTCACACGCAAACACTCAGGTTTGTGGACGGTGGAGCGGAGGGATGCCAGATTGTCTCAGGGTGCTCCCGTGTCTGTGTGCCCTTTTGGTTCTCTCCTTTTAGTTAAGCTGTTATAAATGTTCACATTCTCTGTTTTACATACACTCAAACAGAACAAAACTAATTCCATCTCCCTACCTTTCTTCCGAGTAAACGACTGCCCACCTGTCCGGACGGACACTGATGGATGATTGTCTGTGGAGCTCTCCTGCTACCCGCTTCAGACCAGTTGCCCACGCCCCAGTCACCGCCACCTGCCCAGCTACCGCCACTTGACTTGGACTAGCTGCCCACTCCCACTCTACACTGAAGTTTTCATGGACTCCTAACTACTACTACTATTAATATTAGTAGTATAATTTTGTAGGTAGTTTGACCAGAGGAGGATGGGTCCCCCCATGTGAGCCTTGGTCCCAAGGTTTCTTCCCCAGCTCTGAGGGAGTTTTTCCTGGCTTGCTTACTTGGAGGATTTACAGTTCATGTTAAAACTTTGTCTTTAATGGATTTCTGTGAAGCTGCTTTGTGACAACATCAGTTGTAAAAAGCGCTATACAAATAAATTTGACTTGACTAACCCCCTCATGACCAACCTATTGTGTCAATAATAAACTCCTCTCTTATCCTTGGCTACATCCCAAAAACTCTTAAACTATCAGTAATTAGACCTCTAATTAAGAAATTATAGACCTATCTCGAATCGCCCCTTTATATCTAAGACTTCGAAAAAAGTTGTAGCAAAACCATTAAGTTCCTATTTGTATAGGAATCAAATCCATGAAAAATTCCAATCTGGCTTTAGGCCACATCATAGTACAGAGACAGCACTAGTAAAAATTGTAAATGATCTATTATTATTATTCTCTGACCAAAATCATGTGTCCTTGTTAGTCCTCCTCGATCTTAGTGCGGCATTTGACACAATAGCCCACGATATCTTACTAGACAGACTAGAAAACCTTGTAGGGGTAACAGGAACAGCTCTTTCCTGGTTCAGGTCTACTACCCATCAATCCTGATCTGTCCTTCGACGCACATATAACTAATATTACTAGAACAGCCTTCCTGCATCTCCGCAATATTGCTAAATTGAGAAATGCATTCTCTCTACAGGAAGCAGAAAAGTTAGTTCATGCATTTATTACCTCAAGGCTAGATTACTGTAATGCCCTGCTGGCTGGATGTCCCAGCAAAAGCCTTAACAAGCTTCAGCTGGTCCAGAACGCTGCAGCCAGAGTTCTTACTAGAACCAGAAAGTTTGACCATATCAGCCCAGTTTGATCAGCCTTACACTGGTTACCAGTTAAATTTCACATTGATTATAAAATTCTCTTACTGACCTATAAAGCTCTAAACGGACTCGCCTCTCAGTACCTGAGTGAACTTCTCTCTCACTATGAACCATCACGCCTACTTAGATCACAAGGTGCTGCTCACTATTAGTACCTAGAATTAATAAAGTTACATCAGGGGGCGGAGCTTCTCATACAAAGCCCCCCAGCTTTGGAATAGTCTTCCTGTTAATGTTCGGGACTCAGACACAGCCTCAGTGTTTAAGTCTAGGCTAAAAACTTACTTGTTTAGTGGAGCCTTTGGTGATTAGTTTTCCCTGTTAGATAAAAGGTGCAGATCTGGGGTTCATGGTCATAGAGTATTATGGTAAACTGGGAGTGTTGGTGCTGTCGTCCCGCTGCTCACGCACTCACTCAGGTTTGTTGATGGTGGGGCGGAGGGGTTGACGTCTCAGAGAGCCTCATGACTCTGTTACCTTTCTGGTTTCTCCCTCTTAGTGAGGCTGTAATATCTAGACCTGCCGGAGTCTCTGCTGCTCTGTTAACCCTGTAATCTGTGGTCAGTCACTCTGTACTGAACTGACTCTCTGTGTGTTTCCTTTCTTTGCCGAGCTTAACAGCTGCCCATCCTGTGGGTCTGATGATGTTCTTCTTCTGCCTTGATCAGGTGCCACTGCTCGCCAGCCTTCTGGACCGGCTTGACCACCATTGAGCTTCATGCTGTACAACGCTGTGCAATCCTAACAGTCCAAATTTAGTGTTCTATGGTAAAATTATGAGTGTACAAAATTTGGACTGTTAGGGTTTGAAATTTCTGGTCAACATGGTGCCCTAAAATGCAAACAGGGATCCATTTCGGTCAAGAGTAGAAGCCACATCGCCCTCTACATTTCCTGTAGTGTACTGCAACATCATTGAGAACTAACCTTGTTGGCTAACTGGTTAAACGTTTTGGAGTCAAATTAAGCAAAAATTTCAGCAAGAAATCAAAACATCCAGAATTTTCGTCTTAACCCAAATGTATTGGATCAGCCAAGACATGTTTGGAGGTGTCTGAAATTTGCTTCCTTAGTTTTACACTGCTACAATGCTAATGCAGCTAATAGGTACTAGAAGCCATGAGTTAGCACTGTGCAGACAGGTTTCTGACACTGTATTACATACTGTTATCTACAAACACGGACAAATTACAACAACATTCAGGCTTCAGGATGGCTGTTACTAGTGTTTTTAACTTTGCAATGTACTTTTGTACAGGATGTCATGCACCTTCAGAAATCACATTTGTTGCTCCAATAGCAACATTAGCAGTGAAAAACTGAAGAAGCACACGACTTTTCAGACACCAAAATGGAAAAAAGTGCAAATTTGACTTTTGGCTAAACTATCACCAAGTTTCCTCAAGCAATTGAGTTTTTACAGTACAAGGGTGCAGCAGCGCTGCCCGACAAGACTGACTTTTATTTCTCAACACGCTCTGAGGGAGGAGAGGATGAAGGAGGGAGGAAGGAGAGACGACTGCTTGGCTCGGCCCACATTATACCCGCATTCTGCTCAGAGAAAGACATCAAAGCGAGCGAGAGCAGAAAAGCGAGGGAGACAGTGAACGACAGGAGAGGAGCGGCCTCTCAATATGATAAGCAGGCAGATCAATAATGCAGAGAGAGGGAAAGAGCGAGAATCTGGCCGAGCTTACTGTCAAAGTTCTTACACAACCAGCGGCGCAAATGATCTGACAATATAATTTATAAATCCAGTTAAAGATACACAGTAATATATGGAGCAAAACATGGCTGTAAATTTCTGACCTCAAAATGATTCGATTAGACAATTCAGGAAACAATTCAGTGCCTCATAAAATTGTAAACATTAATATGATTCAGCTGAATTTGGTAAATTTGGTCCAATTCAAAATCATGTTTAACAATATACTGAATATGCAAATGTGACTGGTAGTAAAATATAAACAAACATTTGTCTCCTGAGTGGTGCAAACATCTAAGTTTCGGGAAATTGCAGTTCCCAGCCGTGCCACAGCCATTTGAGGAGTCCAAGAGAACATAGCCTCTGGGTGGGTAGGATGGTCCTCCCTCTCCCCCAGGACTCAGCGCAGTGCTAGCCAACACAGGCATCTGTTAGCTGGAGTAAAAGAATTAGCAGTTATTGTTCTTCTCCAAGTGTGCTGAGCTGCCCAGTGACCCTGCAGTGCTGGAGGATGTGGTGGAGCTTAACGTGTCTCAGAACCTTCACCCTCTCAGCCTGGTAGCACTGTGTGATGGGGAGACCTAACCAGCAGGTGGAGTCAGCCACAGCTGAACTGTGTTTTATCAAAACAGCATTAAGCAAAAGTCTCGACGGTACTTAAGCACATTACTTAAAACCATTTATCTTGGTATAGAGTGTGCTGGAGCTTGTAAAAACACTGTTTATCATCAGAATTAGTACAAATAAACAAACACAGTAAAAGTAACAAGAATTTCTTGTATTCACAGTAGTAGCTGATCCTATGAGCTAGTTTGAAGAACAAACTTTGGTTCCAGATTTCTCCTGGACACCTCCAGCTATAACATGGTTATCATCAAGCACCTGATTTAACGTAATGAAGGACTGATTCAGCAGCTCCACTGATTCTTCTTCTTTTTATGTTTTCCAGTCGGAGCTACAGTGCCACCAAATTCAAGCTGCTGCTTCCGTATAAAAAGTGAAAAGCGCCCTCTAGAGTCAGAGTTTGGTTTGTCCTTTCTGGGCTACTGTAGAAACATAGCAGCGCAACGTCAGCCTCTGTTGAAGAGGAGCCGCTCACTAGGTAGATGAGAAGGGCTCATTCTAAGATGACAAAGACACAATGGTTCATAGCTACAGGTGATTATGCACTAATGAACACATGATTTTATTATTGGGGGGGCGGGGGTCTTTTGAATGGAGGTGTTCAAGCTTTTTAACACAACTACATAAACAATACAAGCTGTTTTTTTACCATTTTGAGTGTATTTTACATTTGAAAATATTCTGATAATTTAATTTTGGTCAAAAATAAGCACAGTGTAACGTAGGGTGAGCAGGAGATGAAGCAGGATGCAACTGCATGTTGGTCCTGGCAAAGACTGGAGCAATATGCAGGAAAAACAAGAACACGAGGAAAACAAACAAGAAATGAAACAGAATCATGAAGCAAAACTAAAACACCATAAAAACAAGGCTAAAACTGCTCTTTGAACAATCCAGAACGAACAAACACACATTCACATTCAGTACCACACAAAGACAAAACTGAAACACGGGTTTATATATACAAACACTCAAGACAAGAGACAGCTGAGAACAATGACAGGGCGGAGCTAAGAACAAGAAACAGGTGTGAGCTGAACACTGGCAGAACAGAGGAGGAGCTGACACAACAACAAAAGCACATGGACTAGAAAACACAAGCACATGGCAAACGGAAACAAAGGCACACAGCAGATGAAAACAAGGAAACAAAGAAAGACAAGGACAAGGTCATTACACACTGAATATTACTATAATCAATCACAGTTTAAACCAATCACAGGAAATGCATTAATATCTCACAGACACACCCAGTCTTGCCTACTGCTCACCTAGTATGACGAGGTTGGTGACGCTCTGTTCGCTTCCACTGGGGAAAGTGGTGAATTCACAGTTGTACCTTCCCTGATCGGTCATCTTAATGTCTGTGATCTGAATGGCTGCATTCTCCAGTCGGGGCGGGTCACTCATGAAACTCAGGCGGCCTTTCAACAGGGACTCGGAGTAATTGACTCCAAACTGTGGATTAAACACTGCTATGTTGTGTCGGGCTCCAGTAGCCGTTTCAAAACTCCAGGACACCTACAGCACAGAAAGAGAGAAAACTGAACCCAAACAGAGACAAAATATCAGTATAAACATTAAATCATCTATAAAACACACACTTTTCACTCCACTCAGGCATTTTAGGAAGGAAAGGAACCAAATCAATCAACCAACCAAATTTAATTAAACTAGTACACTGTAGTACATTGAGGGTGACCCTTATTTGCAATGTAGCTGAGCCTATTAACACTGATATTATTAACATGATATCAATATTATTAACACAAATAATAGAATGATAGATTTTCAGGTTAGAGATTCAGTTTAACTTGCCTTTTTTATCTGCATGTTGCTATAAATATTTTTGCAAACCCCAAAAAATGATAATTATGATAACTCAGAAGAAAAATGTTGGACTTTTATGGCATGAGTCAACAAATGACCAGTAAGTGATTTCAAAGCAGGCAGATACTTTCTTTCTTATTATTGACTATAACTAAAGGAAACAATCTTTTTTGGGTTTAATTAGCTTTTTAAAATATAATTGATGGTTTTCTATAATTGATAAGTACAAAATTTTTTTGTATTAACATTTTTTTATTTTCTTTCGAAGAGGTACTTTTACTGCAGTCACTGTTTCAATTAAGGGGCCAAATCCTACAAATTTTTACTACTTAATTTTTCCCTTGAGATCCTCTCATAACCCTCATGTACAAAAACAGCCATCATTCATTTTTACATGGCCACTGTTAAACCTCTTCATCCCTCAGAGTTAAACAGGCTGTTTTGTTTGCTGTGCCTTTAAGGCTGATATATGTAAATGAGCTCTGTTCTGATTGGCTGCCCTGTGTTGAAAAAGCAGTCTAGACTGAAACACTCCTTATAACTTCAGTGTGAGTGGGCGGGGCTAAACTGCTGTAGGCTGAATTGGTGGATGAGTGGAAATGTATTTTCATGACACCAAAGAAGGAGTGAATTCAGAACAGACTGTTTCAGAAACTAAAACTGAAACTAAATAAGAACTAAACTAAAATGATCACTTTTCAGAAAATAAAACTAAACCAAAACTATTAATGCAGCTTTAAAACTGAAATTAAACTCAAATCAGAAAACAAAGTGAAAAACTAAACACAAATAAAAAAAATGATAAAAACTTAAAACCATGATAACCCTGATCTACAGTCACCTGGTCATTGACCAGCGATCAATAGGTGCATTAATCACACACAGAGACCAGCTGCATTGTGTCTGTGTTTGTTTGAGCTACTGGACTGATTATGGTGAGGTGACCTCTGACCTGTGTGAGCTGAGTTTGGCCTGGATCAGTAAAATGACACTGCAGGGTTACGACTTGACCCGGATACGAAACCACCTCCGGCTGAACCTTCACACGCTGAGCCAAAGACCCTGCAGAGAGAGGAAGACGAGGGGCCTGAGGACAGGATACTGCACTGAGCACAGGTGACCTCTGACCTTAGCCAGGTTAGGAGAGTCAAGCTAGGTTAAAACAGCCAACAGTAAAAGTGACAACAGCAAAATTCAGGTTTTTTCAAAGTCAAATACAAATTTGAAAAAGCTAATTAAATTGTGCATTTCCAATGCGAGTGTCCATCATCAAAGACAAAACTCAAATACAAAATGTAAAATATGTATTAGCATTTACTCTCTGGGTGAACTGGAAGAAGATTACACTGTATTTTCATGGTCTTGATGCTCTGATGTTTAAAACAGAATCATAATCGCCTATTTGCAATCGCATTTCCTCATCGTTGCTCTCCAGTTCTGCTAAAGTGAAAATGTGCTTGCAGCCCTGCTTGAATTTGCATTTTCACTGTCAAACATGGTGGGCGGGGCGTTGGGAGGGGCTTTTTAGTGCAGTGCATGTTTTAAAAGGGAATGAAAAGTAAACTTTGGTGGTGCTGGAAGATCAGCAATAGCTGCTAATAACATTTTAACACAGCATATTTCAACAACAATATAAAACTATACTCACAATTCACTATTATGTGAAATTCAAAATAATGAAATAGCTGCTTGCATCGCAAAACGGAGAAACAGCATTTACTGAACAGCTTTTTGCTACAAAAAATAATAAAAATAAATTCCTATATATTGTCTTTCCTTTATTTTTCTTTGTTATAAAGGCAGAAAGAAAAAAAAGAAAAAAAATGAATAATTCCACATGAATAACACATTCTGTGTATGCGAAGTGAAAGAGGGAGGCGAAATCATATAAAAACAAGTATTTTCTACAGAAAACTTCCACTTTACAGATAAAACTCCTCTCTAGAGGAGGACAGGGCGGGGGTGGCAGTCTGACGGTCCACTACACAGATTAGCTGTGGACACAGGTTCTGCACACCTGAATGAAGGCATTAAAAACATATTCCAGTTCCATTGTTTTCTACAATGAGGGAAATGACCTAAGGGGGCAGGAGCTTCTTCCTTTTGAAACGAGTCAGCACTTTCTAATCTTTCTAATTCTACATTTCATTTTCAAAACACTTTCAGCCTCAGTTTGTCTGAAAACACAACAGTCAAAATGAAAAACACACTCGTAATTGTTAGATTCATAAGCTGTTCATTCGTCCAAAGCTGACGGATTTACAGAGGTGAAATCCGTGCAGCAGTGTTTGAACTGAACTGCCGCTACTGAAAGCTCTGTATGCTCTACACATGTACAAACATACAGGGCTGCACAATGTACTGTATTTAAACAGGTTTTCTGCTATTGGTCTTTGCAATATGCAAATGAGATTTCCAAACCAATCACGATGTTTAAATCACTGTGTGCCGTAAGCATCCTGACCAATCGCAGTTTCACATGAGTTTCCAAATAACGTAACACAGAGATGATCAAAAGTCACTTCATGCACAGTGGAGTCTCGAGGTGGTTAACACATCTGAGTGAAGTCTCAAATCAGAGAGTCGGTTAATTGTAAGTCAGAGGCAAGTTATGAGTTAGTTAAATGAGCATCTGAGTCGAAAGCCAGCTGAGCACGTCAGAATTGTGAGTCAGTTGAGCGAGTGTGAGACTCGAGTCAGTTTAGTGGGTACACTAGTCTTGAGTCAGTTAAGCAAGCATCCTAGTATTGAGTCAGTTAAGTGCACGACCTAGTCTTGAGTCAGTTAAGCATGCATAGTAGTTTTGCTTCAGTTAAACACACATTCAATTTGAGTCAGTTAAGTGTGCGTTCTAGTCTTGAGTCAGTTAAGCAAGCATTCTAGTCTTGAGTCAGTTAAGCACACATCCTGGTCTTGAGTCAGTTAAGTTTATGTGATCATCTTAAGTCAGTTAAGCACGCTTCCAAGTCTTGAGTCAGTTAGGCATGTGTCCTACTCTTGAGTCAGCTAAGAATGCATCCTAGTCTTGAGTCAGTTAACTACGTGTCCAAGTCAAGTCAGTTAAGTGAACGACCTAGTCTTGAGTCAGTTAAGCAAGCATCCTAGTATTGAGTCAGTTAAGCACACATCCTGGTCTTGAGTCAGTTAAGCACACATCCTGGTCTTGAGTCAGTTAAGCATGCATAGTAGTTTTGCTTCAGTTAAACACACATTCAATTTGAGTCAGTTAAATGTGCGTTCTAGTCTTGAGTCAGTTAACAGCACTTCCAAGTCAAGTCAGTAAATCATGCATCCTAGTCTTGAGCAGAGGTGTAAGTAACAAACTACATTTCCTCTCGTTCCTGTAATTGAGTACAGTTTTCCCTGTAATGGTACTTTCTGGAGTAGAATTAAATCATAGTACTTTTCCTCGAGTTAATTTCTGATTAAATATTTTTTCTTTGCTACTTTAATTTTCATAACGTTACAGAGCAAAAATAAATGATGAGCATATCAGCTCAGAAACCAATAAGAACGAAGAGCGGTTAAATTTAAAAGACTCACCAATCAAAAAACAGCAGCTTCGGCGGGAACAACACTACAGAGAGGTCCAGTTTAGTGTAGACGGACAGAGGAGAACTGAACCAGCACACACGAGGAACAGACCACGTCCAAATGGTCATCTGTGTTCATTGAACATGAACTAAAGAAAACAGAGATCCGCTCTTCTTTTATAATGATTCTGTTTATTAAACTTAAAATCTGCAGCGCAGTAGGAAGAATGAGGCCACAGGCGCTGGCTGTGTGAATCCTGAGCTGATGTTGAGTGGAATATGAGTATTACAGGCTGGTAGGCCAGGTAGAGGTGCTCAGCGATGTGTGGGGACAGAGTGCTGTACTGTGCTGTGTTGATGATGATTCTCACCTGGTCTTCCAGTTTTAACTGTGTTTTAACCTCATATATCTGGATGGATCTGTTGTGATAAAGGTGTAATTATATAGACAGAATACAGTTGTGTTAAAATTTCACTCTCTCTCTCCATCTCTGTTCTTTTGTCTGTCTCTTCCTCCCTCTCTCTTCCTCTCTGTCTCTCTCTCCCTTTCTCTGTCTGTCTCTCTCTGTCTCTTCCTCCCCCTCTTTCTCTCTCTCTCTCTCTTTCTCTGTGTTTGTCTAACTGTGAGGCTGTGTAGCTGCTGTATCTGTTTAACTGTGAAATGCAGTAATGATGTCTGATTCTGTCTGAACTGATCAGCATGATTTCCAGTGAAATATATTACAGTAAAATCAAAGCTGGGTAATTTGCTGATGTTGCTGCTGATTTTAATGGTGTAAATGTTCTGAACTGATATCAGTGTAAATATACAGTGTGAAGGCTGTGAATGTGTTTACTGTCTGTAGAGGTTCACACCTGTTAACGTAAGCTAGAGTGCAGGGCATGGTCATCTACTACCCCAGACAGTGATGACGATGTGGTCACAGAGCCCGTTCATTCTGGCTGTCACTGATAACTTCAGCTTAAAGCTTCTCCGTTGGAGCGTCGCCTTTTGGCCGGCCTAGGTGGCGTCCCACGTGCCAAGTATCAAGAGCCTTTTATTGAAGCCACTGCTGTTTTGCCCTGACCTGACTGTTTGGGTCAAGTTTTCTAATTGATTTTTCTTTTCTTTATTTATTTAGTTTTCTTTAATTACTATCTTGATATTTGAAGTTTTATTAATTTCAAATTTATTTTGTTGGTTTATATTATTAGCTTGTTTACTTTTTTTTTCTTGCAACCACTAAGTCAATTTCTAAGTGGTTTGTTTTCATTTTTTTTTCTGCTGGTTTGATGATTGTTCCTTTCTTTTGATTATGGTTTACTCAGGTATATTGGCTGGGGTGTAAGTGATCTAAGTGCAGGTTTTGGGCAGTATATAATCTGCCTGGTATTAATGATTTTGTTTTCTTTCTTTAGAGCCTCCCGGTGCATGTGGTGTCTCTCCTGTTGACTGGTCACCCTCTTGGAGTTTTCCTCTCTCCTTCACCCCTTTTGCACCTAGCTTGCAGTGTTGAAGTCACTATTGTTGAGGTTCAGTAACCTGTGTGTGCGTGTGTGGTGTAGAGTTTTGGTGTACAGGTGTGTGGAACCAGGTGCTAGAGAGCTCAGAGTGGTTTGTTCTTTTGGTTAATAATATAGGGCGGTTATGTGTTTATAAACCTGCACAGCCTTTTTTCATTTTGTTTCAGTAGTACCTGGAGGACGAGGCCCCGGCTTGAGTGTTTTGATATTCTTTTATATCTATATATAGATTTTAAAATTATGTATTAATAAAGTTGTAACAATGTTAATGTTGAGTGGCATGTATTATCTTTTTAAACATCTGGTAAACATTCTGAACTGAACTCAATATCACGTCTCTCTAACTTCTAAACGTACCTGTGTGCTTGTGGGTTTCACTCCATTAAATTTCCTGTGGTGAAATTCCTTAGGTGGTGTAGTCGAATCCTTAAATTAATTTAATACCTGAGCAAGGGCCACACTTGCCTATGTACTATGTATGTTTTTACAGTAGTGCTGTAGACACAGGATTTAGAAAAGATCCTGCTGGCTTCCAAAGAAGTAACTTACAAAATGCCACTTGAGGTTTCAGAGCAGATTTGCTATCAGAATTGATGCAGACATCTTTAAAAAATGATAGATTTGGAAGCGAGTGTTGGAGTGCTGGCAGTAGACAGTGGGAAGAGGGCTTAACAAAGCAGTGGGCAGTGGAGACACACAGAGCTGGGCCAGCAGAACACATGGACTGAGCTACTAATGTAAGTGAAGCTGGCAGAACTTAGCAATAGGTCCACATTGGAGCTGAACCCAAACGCTGTGCTACATATAGCTCTGTAGTCTCATCCTCCACTCCTGTTACCACAGCTCTTCATGACAATGCTAATGCTAAAGCTGCCGTACATTAAAGTAGTACGGTAGATAAATAGATAGATTGCAGTGCTGCAGTAGCAACACATATAATTGCCCATAAACTATGCAGAAAATAAAAAATAGAAATAAATCTAGACATAAGTTAAAATACACTGAGAACACCCTGATTGAGCTGCACTTAGTGACTGAGAGCCGTGATGATGTTCAACTGTATCAGCTGCATCACCATCACCATCACTCCATCACCTTCTAACCCCATCTGAACTTCTCACCTGTTATGGAGAAACAGGTATCAGCTTGGAGGAGGCTGTCACTTTCCCTGTCAGCCCTCAGGTTCAGTGGAAAATCAGCCCAGTTTCTCCCGCTCACTCACCTGCTGCCCCAGGGACCCAACACCTTCACACTCACCAATCAAGGAGTTACTCAAAGCTGCCTCGCTGAAGCTCAGACAAATCGACAAACTATTAAACAGAGTTAAACACAGCTTTCCCAACACCTGCACCACCTCAAAGAAAGAGACAAGCTCCTCAACTAACAGTAAGGTTCGCTCTCCACCTCATCACCAGCAGCAGCTCCACCCACCCTCCTTCACTGAAAGGGAAGACGTCCCCCCATCTTCAAGTACTCTGGCAAACAGAGACTTTGAGTCTGTGCTGATACAGTGATGATGTCAGCAGTACATGTTTTCAAAACAAGCTCGGACCCTGTGTTCAAGAAATCTCTTCCATTCCAGTACTCATGTCAGATAATGTGAATGTATACAATCTCACGTAAAATGTGAAAAGAGACTCAGCTTCTGGAGCATAACACACAGACAATGCTGCATGATCTGGGCATTAGGGGCGCTGTCCTGGAGTCGTTTAAGTCATATCTGACTGACAGAAAACAGTTTGTCACCCTCGGTGGTCATACTTCTCACACATCTGTGGTTACTCAGGGGGTCCCTCAAGGCTCAGTCCTTGGACCTCTCTTGTTTATTGTGTACGTGTTTCCTCTTGGCCACACAATACGTAGTTTCAAGCTGAACTTTCACCGTTATGCAGATGACACACAGATTTGCATTAGCACTCAATCTATTAAAAATCCACCCCTCACCAAGCTTGAAAACTGCATAACAGAAAATAAAACATGGATAAAGCACAAATTTCTCATGTTAAATAGGGACAAAACAGAACTTATTCTTATAGGATCCAAATCAACTCTCTCTAAAACTTCTCCTTTCTCTCTTTCCATCGACAGTGTAACTCTGTCCCCTTCGCCTCTGGTACGAAATCTGGGTGTTCTCTTTGACTCAACTCTGTCATTCAGTGCACACACGTCACTCTCTCAGTCTGCTGCAGAAACCCTTATTCATGCATTCATTTCTATTTGCCTGGACTGTTGTAACTCTCTACTTGCTGGTATTAACTCCTCCCATTTATGCAAACTCCAGATGGTGCAGAACTCTGCTGCTCGCCTTCTCACCCGCACCCGTGCACATCAGCATTTACACCCATCCTGCAACGTCTCCACTGGCTTCCTGTAAAATACCGCACACAACTCAAAATTCCTCTCCTCACAGACAGAGCTCTGCATAACCTCAGTCCTTCTTACCTGTCTGATCTACTTATCCCTACTAACCAACTCGCACTCTCAGGTCTTCCTCTGCTGGTTTACTCACTGTCCCACCTTCCAACCTACATGGGTACGGTGATCGTGCTTTCTCTAGGCTGGCTCCCCGACTCTGGAACTCTCTCCCCTCACATATTCAACAGGCCAACTCTGTCTCCACTTTTAAATCTAAACTTAAAACTTATCTCTTTCCTATTGCTTATAACTGTTCTCAGTCCTAAACCAGCCCTTTGCCAAGTCCTGCTATGTTTTGCTTGTGATGTTATGACTGTGCTTCGTGTTCTCATGTTTGTCTTTACTGTTCTGTATTTCGAAAACCTGTAAGCGTCTTTGAGTTCTTGAAAAGCGCTATATAAGTATAATGTATTATTATTATTAAGATCTCTCACAAACAAGTCTTATTTGAGTAATGATTTCATTACAGCTCATGGGCTTGATTTTATGCTTTTGACAGAAACATGGTTGAATGAATGCAGCGTGAAACCATATTAATCGATTCAGCTTCACCCAACTTTAATTTTATATGTGTCTCAAATGCCGACAAGAAAGGTGGAGATGTAGCTGCTCTATTTGATGACTCTTTCCAATCCAAGCAATGACCACTGGGTGATTTCACATCCTTTGAGTATCTTTGTGTGGTTCTAAAAAGGGGCACCAAGAACATTATTCATAATTGTCTACAGGCCTCTGAAGTACAATGCTAATATTATTGACAAATTTATATATATTATTTTTAATTTCCACTGATTTTGATCATTTTATTATTGCTGGTGATTTCAACACACATATTGGCAATTCCACTTAAAGTTATGCCAAGGAACTATAGACTATATGTGCTATACTGGACTCTTTCGGACTCTCAGTATGTGACCGGGAGCACAAACTGCCATGGTCACACTCTCGATGTGGTCATCTCAAAGGCTCTTAACATATCAGCCACTGTTAAGGATGTCGCTTTGTCAGATTATCACTCTGTTTTCTTTGAAATGTAGACCTCACTAAACATCAAGAGCAGATACATCATCTTTAAGGTTCATAAATGACAGCACAGCTACACTTTTCATGAGCAGAATGCTCTGCACCATGTAAGCAATCAGACTCTTGATGGTTTGCTGGAGAGCTTCACCTCAAATTGTCAGTGTTGTGGATGGGAAGCACCAGTAAAAGTTAAAACATGCCAATAGAAACCTTTAATAGAAAGCTCCAAAAGAGAGAATGTAGGAAGGCTGAACACAGACGGTGTAAAACCAAGCTTCAAACCTTCAAAGACAGGATGCGTGATTACAGCACAATAATGAGCAAAGCTAGACAATCGTTCTTCTCCAGCATTATCAACAATAATATTAACAACAGCAGAATCCTCTTCATCATGATCGACAGACTAACAAAGTCACCTGTGGATATGACCCCTGAACCAAGGAGCTGGTGGTGGACTTCCGCAAGTCCAAACATTCTCCTCCGGTGCCTGTGAACATCCAGGGAATGGACATTGAGATTGTGAAGTCCTATAAGTACCTGGGTGTTCACCTCAACAACAAGCTGGACTGGACTGACAACACAGCTGCCCTCTACAGGAAAGGCCAGAGCAGGCTACATCTCCTGAGGAGACTCAGGTCCTTTGGCGTGCAGGGGGCACTTCTCAGGACCTTCTTCGACGCTGTGGTGGCATCAGCCATTTTTTATGGAGTGGTGTGCTGGGGCAGCAGCATCTCCATTGCTGACAGGAAGAGACTGAATAAGATCATCAGGAAGTCCAGCTCTGTCCTGGGATGTCCTCTTGACCCAGTGGAGGTGGTGGGGGACAGGAGAATGAGGACTAAGCTAACAAACATGCTGAAGAACCTGTCCCACCCCATGCACCGCTCTCTGACAGCACTGAGCAGCTCCTTCAGTGCCCGGCTGCGGCACCCGCGGTGCGTGAAGGAGAGATACCGCAGGTCCTTCCTCCCAGCCGCTGTCAGACTCTATAACAGTCACGGCACTCAGTAGACAGTAGTTTACAATTACTTTCCATGTGCGAGAACTCTCAACATCACTGCCACAGCACTTTACTGTGTGCAACATCTCAACCCACCATGCGTAGTATATTCACTGCGGATCACTGTCAACATGTTTACCACCATTATGTGCAATTATGTCAAGTGCAATATTTCTCCATTTATTACTGTTTATTTATTTGCTATTTTATTCACTGTGCAATACTCACTACAATACATACATTTCTACATTTCTAAATTTAAATTTAATACTTTGTATATTTTTCTTGTAATTTTTGTACATATACATATATATCTTTATATTTTTATTGTTTATTCTATTTTATTTTATATATTGTTTGTATATTTCCTGCTGCTCTGTCTTCTGTGCTGCTGTAACACCGCAAATGTCCCCGTTGTGGGATTAATAAAGGATTATCTTATCTTATCTTATCTTATCTGAACCTTTAACGAAGAGATATAATGAGTTTGCGTACTTTTAACACTAAAATCCATATCAGACAAGCCATTAATACATCAAGCTTTATAAAGGAGCATATTCTACCATTCTTATATTTTATTTTTCCCTCTGAGGTCCCTTCATATAGTTTGTGTGGGTTTATGTAACAAAAAAAAACATGTTTGATCTGTTAACAAAAGTGGAAATTTGGAGACAGAAATATTCTGCAGTGAAGGTAAAACAGTGTCTATTTAAAGACTCAGAAACAAGAATATAAAAGTAAAAAAGGTAAAAAGTATAAAGTAACACAGTGTCTGTTCTGTCACTAAAGTACAGTTTCTGATTTGTTCCACCCTGTTAACCCTGTAACCAAGAGCTACTCAGAGACGTGTGAAGATGGTGGAGACCTCATAACCACAAAAGAGCTGATCTCAGTTTAAAACAGTTTCAAAGCTCTAACAGAGTTAATCACACAAATAAGCTCTGATGATGAAGATCTTCAGCTTAAAGCTGCAGTTAGTCTGAATGTTCTGTGAGTTTAAGAGATTATAAAATGGTATCAGTTATTAATCTGTAGTTACTGCAGCTCTGCTGTTCGTTCTAAAGCCACTTCCTGTGACTGAATCGTGTCAAATGTATTAAAATGTTCTGAAACACACTGTAACTGTTATATGTTGAAGGATTTTTAGTCTCTACACGTTAATCTGACACAGAAGTAGATCAACGCTGTGGAACACAAACACATTAAGAGCAGAAATGTAAATAAATGTAAAGTTTACCTGCCAGTAAAATGAGGATCAGTGCTGCTGTAATATTTGCTGAGCTCTGGGAAAACATGGCAGCATCACTCTTCAAACACAGCGGATACCTGAAGGTCCAGAAGGTCCAGAAGCTCCTCACTCTGACTCTCCTACACTTATGAACTGTTCTGATCTCAGCAGAGAGAAAGTCAGCAAAGACACTGAAGACGTGATCTGCATTGTGTGTTCTGTCGTCACTCCTCCCCTTTCAGCTCAGAGTCACTTCCTTTTTCACTCAACACTCAGAAAGACGTCTGAGTGTGATGATCATTTTATTTCTGTTCTTCTTTGTGAGGATCATCTCATCACTGTCAGATCAAAACCTACTGACATACATTAAAGTCCAAAAACGCTGCCACTTCAGAGAGGAAAGGGTTAGTTATGATAGCAGTGATATGAGATGAAGCTCCTCTTCTAAACTGCTCTATTTCTGTCCTTTTATCTACAGAAAGGGTTGATAATGTTCTATCAGGTTTGGACTCTCCTGTGTCCTGATATTCAACTTCAAACACCTCCATCTGTTTGGTGGTCATCATAAATGCTGCACTCTCACTGTTACAGTACAGTTTCTATTTATTTGCTGAGTTTAACTTTGTGCTGTAACTTTTGCACAGGTCACATTTTATATTTTATTTTCCTCCAAGATGTTAAATTCAGTAAATAAACAGTAACTGTGTATTATAATGTGCAGATGTGTGTCTCTGTAGAGGATGTGCAACTTATTCACAACAATGAACAACAACATGGAATATGACCAGGGTGCCCAAACTTTTGCATGTGACTGTATTTGAGAAGGAAAATGGGCCGGACCACATTGGTACTGTGTGCAGCTGTTTTACTCTTTTACTCTTCTTTTTATTGTTTTTTTATAAAATTAATGCAAAGATCATTTTAAAATATTAAATATCAAAGTTTAAGGGCAGCAGAAACAGACAATTTAGGATTTTTCTAATTAAAAAAACAGCAATGAAAACTGGTGATAGAACAGACAAGCATATATGAGACAAGCTTATCTTACACTATCAGAAATTTGAAGAATTATATTTATACTATGTTACACCCTCAACCACAGGACCAACACTTCACACACACAGAGCTGCTGCTGTGTCCATTTAGCAGGAGTAGACGTCTTTATTTTGGTCATTTCAGAGAATCTCATGAAGGCTACGTTTGTTCATGTTTAAATATCTGAACACCAGCTTTAAAAATGGTTTTACACAGTAAGAGTCTGAGTGTAGAGTTAAAACCAGCTTAAATAACCTGTAGAGAGCAGGGCTTTCAAAACCAAGACTCTAATGAAACAGAGCACAGCAGGATGTTTAAACTGCTGCTATTAAAGTGTTAAACACCTTCAGCTGTTTGGTTAATGTGGCCATCATGACAGACACTGCACAGGTTTAAAATATATTGTGGCTGTCAGGCATTAACTGGGTCGTGTTTTGTGGGTAATGATGCAGTGATGTCATTCTGAGGGTGTATATATATATGTATATATATGTGGTTTCTGAAAAAGAAATGTTGAAACAAATGGCCGATGCTGCAGTAAACAGCACATGATATTTATTGTAATGATGTATATAAAATGGAAAATAAATTTGGGTGGTGGTCAATATACTTGTGAGGTGAGGGGGGGCGACTGAGTAAAGCCTATGTGTGGGAAACACATGCAAAGCTTTCGGTACTGCCGGTCAAATGACATCACACAAGTCATCACATCTTCTACAGAAAACAACCTTAAATTCCAACATGGAATTTGACCAGGGGTGCACAGACTTTTGAATAGGACTGTATGAGCAGTTCTGTGGTTCTGGAGTCGACTCTGACTCTCGATTCCTGCTCCTCGACTCCACTTAACCGACAGCGTCAGAGCCGGTGATAAACAGATACAGCAGAGATTAAACCACCCTAAACACAGTTCAGCCAATTAGCTACAGATTAAAGAGATACGATGAAAGTTCACAGACCAAACGGTTTATTCATACAGTACACACTGCAGTGAACCTATAGTATAACATCAGGTAGCTGACTGACGCAGCTCACCATCAGACGGCCGACTTCACATAACGAGGCTGCTGAAAGGAGCTCAAGCTCCCTCTCAATAACCGATTGATTATTTTACCACCTGGGCTTTCGAACAGGTCAGAGGGGCATCTGTACATTCACCCCCGTAAAGGTCTACTCTCTGTAGTCCTCCAGGTCAGAGGGTGGGCGCCGCCACATGCACTCTTGGTTGTTGGCCAGAGAAGCTTAATCTGCTTAGCTTTTTGCTCGTTTTGTAGTTGCTAATTGGTTTTGTTTGAGTAGTGTGGATTTGTTTTGTTCTTTTCTTTGGTGCTGTCCACAGTTTGATTCTTCCAGTTTGGTACTAGATATTATAGTACAGCATTTTTACTGTGGTTAGTTTTAATAAAAAGCTCTTAATTGCTCAAAAGCTCTTATTTGTCTGTTCCTCATGCTTTTATCTTCATCACTGGATCAGTATTTTAAATGGCACCTGTTACTGTGCAGTGTGGGGTCGTAACACAAGCATGTGTGAGATGTGCTAATCTAACACAATCAGCATTTAGAACAACTAAATTTATGCTACCTTAGTCAGTCACAAGACCAACACTTCACACACACAGAGCTGTAGCAGTGACCATTTAGCAGGAGCTGTAGACATCTGTTATTTATATTGCCCATTCTAGAGTACTGTGTGAAAGCTACATTCACTCCTGCTTAAACATCTGAGCAGCAGCGCACACCATCTGTTTATGATTTACACAAAACAGTACAAGTGTAGAGTTAAAACAAGCTCAAATGACCTTTAGATGAGAGCAGGCTTTCAAAACCAAGACTCCATGCTGAGTCAGAGGGACGATAAAATACCATAAGGAGCGACGTCTACATCATTTAGGACACTTCAGGGATGATTACATCAACATTAATATTCAGGTTAATGTCTGTAATATCATAAAATCACACCCTAAATATTGCAACATTTGATTGAGAAACTGTTTTTAAATTGCTTTATTAGTGCTAAAGCTTTCGCTTTAAGACTCTCAGAGACGCTGCCTAGCAGTGATCTCCAACCCTGAGTGAGAGGCGCCTTCCTGCAGAGTTTAGCTCCAACTTGTATCCAATAAGCTGCCCCACCCCTTACTTAATGTTCAGATCGCCAGCTCAGAACAGATTTTCGGCATATTCAGACTGGTTTTTGGTCTCGACAGCTGAAACCCACACGAAATCTGATTTTTGCACATCAGATCCAAACCACATTTGGAGCTGGTCTGAAATGCAATTCTGACTGAATTTGTACCGACGCGTCTCTGTCTGGACGCTTTGGACGCTCAAATCTGATTTCAAAGTGTCTTTTGTGTCCCTCGCTATGCGAAACAATGTCAGATCCAGAGTGATGAAGTGCTGGGATTCAGGAAGAGCTGCAAAGATTCATGATGATG